TAAAGAATAAAACCGACAAAACCAAAACATTGGAGATATTGTAGGTCTTCAAAAGTAGATAAAAGTCAACGAGAATGGGCGTTATAATGAATCTCATTATCTTCTTAGCTGATGCCTAAACTTTCGAACCTGATACTATCCAGCAAAACAGAATAGAGGAACCTCAGTCAAAAACAAGATGGTGAGAGTAATACAGGGCTTCAAATCGAGATAATAGAAAGTCAAAGTGGGTTACTATATTATATCCTGCTATATTTTTCCCTTTAATTAAATGGATAAAAATAAAAAAGTAAATAATGGAGTGGAGATTGAGAAAAAAGAGAGCATAACAGCGAAACAGGGCAGATCAAAACATAACCCTTTAAGCATAATAGTGTTTCACCACCAGATAATCCTGACCCAAAAATAGTTACCATATTGACTCCCTCCCTGAAGTCCTTGAGTACAACTTCATATACTGTAGCATTAAGTATATCAAAACAATGCAAAACCATTTAAGAGAATGACAGCATTATAGAGTATTTAGAATCAACTAACAGAAAATGAACAAAGGTCTCTGTATAATCTCCTTGTCTTTAAAAGGTTTTTGCTTATACTATCGTACATAACAAAATCCAATAAGATACAACCTGTTTAGACCGTTGGAGACAGAAGAACAAAAGCTAGATGAGACTTCAAAACAAGATGGTACTAAATCAGCATTACCTATTAAGATGTCATTTTCTCCAAAAAAAGCTGTTCCTATCATCCAATCTTCTGTCTTATTTCTGTTGAGCTCTTTTTCTGTCAGTAGCTGTCAGTTTGTCTTCTTCATTTTGTTCTCTGCTCCATTCATTGTGGCCTCCCCGCCACCATTTCTGGGTTCTTTGTATTTTTCTTTTTTTAGAATATCCTGCAATACTTTCTGTAGGGTTGAATTGGTGGTTGCAAATTCCCCCAGTTCCTCTTTATCCTGGAAGCACCTCGTTTTTCCATCAATTTCCAGGGACAGTTGTGCAGGATATCTCAATCTTGGCTGGAGATTATTATCTTTCAAAGCTTGAATTATTTCTCCCCATGCTCTTCGTGATTTGATGGTTTGTGAAGAGAAATCTGCTGTAATTTTGATGGGTATTCCCTTGTAAGTGATCTGTTTCTTGTCTCTTACAGCTTTTAATATTCTGTTCTTGTATTGAATTTCTGGAATTTTTATTATTATATGCCTGGGTGTTTCTCTGTTAGGGTTGTAGGTAGCTGGGGTCCTGTATGCCTCATACATCTGAGTATCTTTACCTTTTGCTAAATTAGGAAAATTCTCCTGGATTATTTCTGTGAGTAGCTTTTGTAGTTCACTTGTTTGTGTCCCTACTTCTTCTTTTATGTTCTTAATCCTTAAGTTATGGCTCCTCTTATCATCTTCTTGTCTTTGTATTATTGCTGTGTGTTTCTTTGTTATTTTTAAGAAGTTTTTCATTTTATTCTCCCATGTTTCAAGTCTGCCCTCCAATTCAGATAGTCTGTCCTTAGTTTCTTTCAAGCTGTTATGCCAGTCTTGGATAGACTTCTTAATTTCTTGATAGTCCCTTTGAACCTGCTCCACATACTCAATGCTTTCTCTGTTTTCTCCATCAAGCAATTCTCCCCTCTTTTTCTGTTCTTCCATTCCACCATCTGCTTTTTCCTGGGTGGTGCTTAGCATTTCTCTAACTATTCTGCATACTTCTAGCTTCAGGTCATTGATAACTTCATTCCTGAATTGGTCTATGAGGCTCTCTAGATGGCGCTTAATGTATATTGGTGCGGTGTCCACTATTGCCTGATTCTCAGGATTGGGGGCCGAGGAGCCTTTTTTGTTGCTTCCCTTCCCCATATTTTCTGTTCCTTATAAAATGCAATCTTACATAGGAGGCCCAGCTTCCCTGCCTGTCAGCCACAGCCTGATCAAATTGCGCTGGCTAGTTGTTCCCGCCCACCGCTGCACCCCAGGGAGTTGCGGAGGAGGCAGCCTACACGGGAGTTGGTCGCTCCTCCGGGCCACCATCAGGCTCTGGGATCTGGGTTAGGCCAGCCTAGGGAGTCCGCCAGCAGCGTCACTCAGGCCAGGCACCTTTCACCAATCCCGTCCGAGAGGGGAATGTGCGGCTGGAGTTGCCACTGCGCCCTGCTCTTACAGGACTGCCCGAGCCCAGAAAAACCTCCGCTGGAGTCAAACTGTGGTAGGGAGTCAGTTTCTAGTTCACCTCGCCACCAGTCAGTTTTCCTCCTTGTCCGTCCTGTTTCCGACTCCGTTCGCAGACTCCCGTTCCCAGAGCTCGGCGCGTCTCTCCTTGCCGAGCCGCTGTGGAGGCAGCCAGCCGCCGGGCGGCGGGAAACCCAAATCGCGGTTTCCAATGGCGTGCGGTCGAGCCTCCACACCGAGACTTCTCTGTTCCTATTTTAGCGCCAGGACCGCATTCTAAGTTGGATTCTCTCAGCCCAGTTCGTTCCTGAGTCAGCAGAGCACATCTCTACTGGTTCGTATCTCCTTAGTCCGCATCATTCCTGGCCTCTGAGCTGAGGCTTTCAGAGAGCCTTCAGTAGCTGCTGCTGTCTGTCCGCCATGTTCTCCGATCCGACCAGTAGTATATTTCTTGAAAGTTTTATACCTGTTGGTGAACCTAGTTTTATAATACATTGGAATAATCTTTCCATTTCTATTAAATTTAAATTTTTATAATTTCTTATACTCTCAATCTGTCCAGGACCGAGGAAGAAAATATATAGTTCTCAGAGTTTCAGTCCATACTCAATTGGCTCTGAGGCAGCATGGGAGGGCAGGGCAGCCATTCGTGGCCACTGTAAACAGCAAGGTGAGCTAGAAACCTAATTCTTAATGTACCCTGATGCATTCCTCCATCGAGGACACATCATACCATGTAGTCTTCCCTTTGCTTATCTGTCTCCTCACTGCATTGAACACCTCAACAAAACAAGGTAGTTTGAAGTTTGCACAGTATAAAGCACTTTCTAAAAACTTTTGGCAGTATTGGAGGTTGAACCCAAGGCCTTCCCACTGAGTTACACCCCCAGTCCTTTTTCTATTTTTTATTTTGAGTCTTGCTAAGTTACTATGTTGCTCACACTGGGGTAAAACTTGTGATTCTCTTACCTCAGCCTCCTAGAGTGCTGGCATTTAAAAACATGCACCATCATGCCTGGCTTTTAAATGTGTGGTTGATAGATTAATTAAAAAATCAATTAATCAGGTAAGAATAAAAGCACAAGATCATAAAGTCTCAATCAACCATAGTGAAAACACTTCTCTGGAGAAAGATGATATAAAACCAGATGAATATGATGCTAAAATTATTCACACAAGAACATGTGGTAGTCTGAGAAACAGGCATAGAAATAGAGATAAGGAAGATAAATGCTGGCCATGGTTAAGGAAAATGATTTGATTGCTAAACAGGATAAAAGATGAGTGATTAAGTATTTGGAGTTGTGCAATGATAGGTTTTGAAACCAAAATACATTCATTTAAATGTAATATTAAAAGCAGGCATAAGCTTGGAAAAAATGGGAGAAATTAATGATCATACCATATATAGAGGGTATACAAAGGAACAGAAAAAGCAGTGTATCAAATAAACTCTTAGTGTATCTGAATTAGTATTAAATGTTAAATAAGTCTGTCATGACCAAAAATGGAAAAGTAGAGTTTTGTAGGGTGAGCTGACATCTACTTACTAGACCCAATGTAGTTACTCTGACAGTTCCTCCGTTCCAGGTGAAATCCAGCCCATTTGCGACTCAGCCACCAAGCTGAGCATGCATGGAGCTGGGGAAGGGAGAGAAGCCGGCAGAGCTGAGCAATGATGCTGGTGTCCACATGATTGCTAAGCCCCCACTGTGTGCCAGCGCTGAGAGATGACAGAAGTACATCACTTGTCACCTTTGACTCTTCTTAAGCTATTAGATGTTTTTGTGCATGGGTGTGTGTGTGTGTGTGATAGTTGATGGAAGCTTTGTTCCTTTTTTTCCTTTTCCAAAATGAAGAGATAATGCTAACACTTTAAATTCTCATATTTAGGAAAATGTATAATAAAATGTGCAGTTTCACTGCAATTAACAAATATTTTTAAATATATTCAATAATTAAAGTCATAAAATCAACCTAAATCTACATTAGCAGTGTAGGGAAGGCAAACAAAGATATATTATTGTTTTGCTTACCACCAACATCACTCTATGTTTGTGAAGCTATATGTATTCATTTATTCAATTAAACCTTATTAAAAAGAAAATGTCACAAAAATCAATAATTAGCAGAGAGTTAAATAGAATTATAATTAAATATAATTAAGTAAATAAGGATTGCTGTTGTAATACAGAATAATTAAATGAGTAATAACAGAATCAGAGGATTTGGGTTCACTTAAAAGGAAGCATGCCAATGAATATAAAATAAGGCAATCAGCCTTACAGTGTTTCTGTAACTAGGTTTAAATAACAGATGTTTTATAGTGGAAAACTCTAAGGAATGTCAGGCATCACAATAAAGTCAGTTTAGTTTATATACATGATGAATTTCACATTGATCATTAATAGAAAATGTCAACTTGGAAAAGTCTAAATTTTTATTTTACTGACCTGGAAAGTGGAAATAATGATATTTTCCTTAAAAAGTAACCACATTGAGATATTTAATATATTAATTACAGAGTAAATGCTTCATAATCAGATGTATTTCTTTTTGTTTTGCTTTGTTTTTCTTTTTGAGATAGGGGCTCACTATGTGATCCAGGCTAGCCTTGAAATCACTAGATAGCTCTCCAACTTGTGGCAATCCTCCTACCTCAACCTCCCAAGGGCTAGGATAACAGGTGTGCACCACCACATTCAGCTAAGTTGCTATTCTTAATGCTATTATTTCTAGTTTAGAAAAGGAAAATTCTTGTTTTTTCTCAAATTCATTTAATCAAGGAAAGTCAAATAATTACAGAGAAAGTGCAAATATAATTCCCAGCAGAAATACTTACCTAAACTCTTTGCTTCATATTTGATCTTAAATCCTTGCCCTTCATTATTATTATCAGAAATAAACTGAACAAACATTTGATTATCTGAGGTGAACAGAGTTGATGAGGCATGACCTCCACACAAACGAGCATTTCCTCCTTGGGTTCGCAAAGGTGGAGAATAGATATCTGGTCCATTTTTTAGCTGAAAAGACACGATAACCTTGTGTAAACTCCTTTATATTGTGAAAAAGGGAGTGAAAAAGTTTTATCAGTTTATGACTCAAGACAGAAAAATTATCATTTATTATCTAGATGAAGGGCAGAGATACTACTAGAGATGGTAGCAAATAAAACCTACCACCAAATAATCCCCACGGTTGCAAAACAAATCTCCATTTGGAATCTGGAAGGGCTGTTCAAAGTGGACTGCGATGGTCAATCCAGGCTGGACCAGGACATGCCAGGAGCAGTTGAGGTTGGGCGGGTAGTTTGCTGGGTACTTGGGGGACATGATAATTCCTCTGTTCGCATGAAGATATCCACCACAGCCTTCCCAAGAAGCCAGACAGACAGGTTATTTAAATGACACTGAAAAATGGGTTTTTATGTTTTTCTTGGGGGATGTTGTTGGAGATTTGTGAAGTTTATGCAATACAAATGAGGTTTGAGACTAACTGGAATCAAAGTGTAGGAAATGATTAACAGAATAGTCACTGAATGAACACATACAGTTGGGTCCTCAAGATACAGAGGTAAGCAATATAAGATCTCAGAGACAGAGGTAAGCAATATAAAATTATTTTCATAAATGTTATTTTATAGATGAAGAAAACATATAACAAACAGATATCAAATGTTAGATAGTGATACATCCTATATAGAAAATGAAAGCTATAAAGAAAATAGTATTGCATTTTCTGATGAGGTTAGGAAAGGTCAGATACTTGCACAACATCTAGAAGATGTTGGAGGGAAATGAAAAACTGCTCAGTGGCCTTGTGGGAGAAGACCATCTGAGTGCAGAAAGCAGTGTAAAGACCTGACACGTGAAGAGGTTCATCATGAAAGCCAGCACAGCTGAGACAGGACGGGAGATCCAAAAGGTAGCATGAGTAGCTCATGCAGGAAGCGGAGGACTTATTTAGAGTAAGCAGGGGAAGGTAGCGAGGCTGTGAGCCTCAGAGTGGTATCATCTGATTTAAATAGTAAGATATTCACTGTGCACAGTGTTTCAACTATACAGGACATGAGTCAGGGAAAAGTAGAAGCACAAGATACAGTAAGGATAGAGGCAGAGACAAGGATAGTAACAAAAATATGCAGAAAAGCAGTTGGAACCTAGGTGCATTGTGAATTGAAATTTGTGGATGGTTAGTACAGAGAGTTTGAGAAAAAGAGAAGAATCAAGAAAGACATCAAGATATTTAGCTTCAATAAGTAGAAGAATGTACTTTCCATTTACTAAGATTGTGGGGAATATGGGATGGGCAAGTATGGGGTCGGGGAGGGAAAGTAGGAATCAAGAGTTCAGTCTTCACATGGTAAGTCTGAAATACTTTGTAGACATAGAACTTTGAACTTGTATATATTCATACAACATACACATACATATATAAACACATTTTCACAGTGGCTCCATCACTACAATGTATGTATATGTTATATGTATGCTACACATGAAAAGAGCTGACACATGTACATACATACATGTGAGAGAGGAACTAGAGTGGTTGGGAACACGGGAAAGAGGATGGAGACAGTGGCATTAACCTGTGAGCTGTCAGGGACTAGGCAGCTCACCAGTTGGTGAGACAGGAAAGCTCATATAACTAGCTAAGTTGCAAAGGTGGAAATGTTTTGTAGATCTAATTCCAAAACCATTTAATCCACTATATATCCTGCTTTCCTTGAGTTGCAAGAAGATAATTTTTCTTCAATTGCTCCATAATTTACAAAAGTCATATATAACAGTAAAAATTATGAGATCTATTTTTAATATTATGAGAAGCTACTTTAAAATTATGTTTTTCATACATGAAAGTTTTTTGATATTTGATAGACTGTATCAGTCTAGTTTAGATTTAAACTTAATAGCCCTCACATGTTGTCAAGTTTTGAAAGCCCCAACGAGCTACATGTGATCAACCCCACACGCTGCACACATTCTCTGACTCAACCAATTCATGTTTGAAGAGCAAGAAACTTTTACTACATGGATGGGGTCCTCGTATGGATGATCTCAACTAAGGCATTTGTGAAGATTTCTTACATAATGTGTGTACTGGTTATTTCTTGTATTGAAGAATAACTGACTTATTGTTCCTTTGATGCATTATGAATGAATATATCCTGTCTTCTAGTTCCAGCCCTCAGCTTAGGATGGGTAAATTGTTCTTGTGCTTACCACAAGCACATCTTCTTGGGAATGACATTCAGACACTTGAAGGTAAGAGGCAGTCTGTACATCTTAATCACAGTGCTTTGTATGAGGACTCAGTACCTGACCCAGAATGGGCATCCAGAAGGGGCAGAGACCTGTGCCCTGTGGCTTACAACCTACGGCCTGGCACAGAAAAATGAGCAGGGTGTATGGGGGAGTAATAAAAGAGACAAGAAAGGGGAGGAGACAGAGGAAAGAGAGCAGAGAGATGGGGAGAGGAGCAGGGGAGGGAACGAGGGGAGGAAATTTGTCTGAGCACATTACTCTTGTGAAAGGATGCATTGAAGCCTCCCCTGACGACGCTGGAATCAGAGGAGAAGTGGATGAACATGTACTCTCCAGTAGACCGGATGGGCCCAGGGATCTGTCTTCCACAGAGAACTGCTAGCTCTGGGGCCAGGTTATTGTCTCCTGTGACCAAGAAAGGAAATATCAACATGAAAATGCAGTGTCTTAAGAATCTACCCACCATCACTGGCAACCCAGCCAAAGTAGCACACACATTTTTTTCAGGACATTGGAGCTACTAGGAGACAAAGGAATTCCCACAATGGACACACAAGGGTGCCTCCAGCTGGCTCCAGCTTGCCATGTGGCCAGGAGGCCCACACTCTACCCTTTTTGATAAAGACCTCTTGGATAGTTCCCAAGGTCTTTCTAAAAACTGGCTGCCAGTTCTTCCTGGCTTGAAATCTCAAAGTCGAAGTTCAGGAGACTGGGAAGTGATCAAGGCCTCCTGTTTACATGTACTAATTAGAGACTATGACCTTGGCTACTCTGATTGCTGAAGGCTAAGTATCTGCAGGAAAGAAATCAAGTGGATTGTAACACTCAGCTCCTATACTACAGTAGGAGGCCATTGACCTAAAGGTTCCTAATTGTTATGTGGGCCTTTCTCTAGCTCACTGAGAATTTTAAGAACTCTCCTCTCCTCTCCTCTCCTCTCCTCTCCTCTTCTCTCCTCTGTCTCTCTGTCTCTGTCTCTGTATCTCTGTCTTTCTCTCTGTCTCTCTCTCCCTCCCACTTTGTAATTTGTTTGTTGTATCATAAAAGGAACAACTTTTGGGAAGGAGGAGGAACAAGAGTTCCAGGAAATGTGTCCTCTGGAAAGAGACACGCAGGAGAACCAGGTCACCCCATGGACTTTCTTCTTCCCACTTGCTTTGTACGTGTTTCCACCAAAACCACTGTCCCTGCCAGGACTGGAATGTAGCAAACAGAATTATGTTGAATTTGTATTCCTTGGCTGATAAAATATATTATTTTCTATAAAGCCTAAAATTAATAAATTTCAACTTATAAAAAAGAAAACCAGAATTTTAGAAATGAAGAAATTTGTCTTTTTACATAGTCAACAAAAGGCTCTTTTTTAAAAACATAAACTACTACTTAAAATTCATTTTATCTTTAGAAAACAAGTTATTTTCTATTTCTGTAATTATAAATGTAATAGCACAGTTCTAAATACAAATATTTTCAAGATGCATGCAGAGACATTCTTTGGAGGATTTCTCAACTCTGAGAAATTTTGAGTTTCATTTTTACAATTTAAGTCATTCAAGTTCAAACTCTTTTTGAAGTTCTTATCTTTCTTATGTTATTTTGCTGCACATTTTGGCCAATTTTATTTTTTGATGTATTTTCTAATAGTTTGTATTATGAAACTTCTAAGTTTGTCGTTGTTGTTTTGAGGTGCTAAAGTTTGAGCCACAAACCTTTGCAGTAAGATACATCCCCAGTCTTTTACTATCCTTTTTAGGAAAGGAATTGACTAAGCTGCTGACTGTCCAAGCTGTACTCAAACGTGTCATCCTTTACCTCAAACTTCCAGAGTGCTGGGCTGGCAGTTTACCACCATGCACAGCTGAAGTTTTTTTTTTTTTTTTTTTTTTTATATATCATTATTTCACAAGTATATATTTTATCCTTTAGTGATATTGGACTGGACTGGATCTATTTGACTTTATTTTCCAAACTTCCCTCTAGACTGGCTGGTGAATCAATGCTTTGTCTCTAAATAATTACTTGTTGATTAGTAAGTTGATTAGTTGGTAGGTATCCCAGTAACTTCAAGATTGTTTGTTTCTCACTCTCCTGTCTTCATACTGAATGTTGGGATATTTCTAGGACCTTCAGATTCTTAATGTATAAAGTGCAGAAGCAATGATCTTTAAAGAGAAGGGTAACGGATATGAAGCTCGAAGCTAAATAAAGGGTTATTTGGTGAGTCTCTGGCTCACCTTGTTCATTTTAGAGACATGGAAACTCTGGCACTAAGATCATAAAAGGCTGACATTTATTTATTGTCACTTCCAATTCAAGTGCTTTATACATAATCTGTGGTTTTTTGTTATCATAAAAACACTATCAGATAGATGTTATCATTCCCATTTTATAGATAAAAACACTGAATCTTTTTTTAAAAAAAGCTTTTTCTGGGTCCCCTGTAGTTTCATGGAATCTCAGTTTGAGGAATCTTTGGTATGCAGCATTTGTAGATGACTGGTTGGGAAGATACTGACTCAGTTTTAAAACTTAATTCTGTAAAATAAATGAGAAGGTGGAAGAGTGACTGACTTTTGGCCAGAGTGGTGCAGGACCTTCTCTGGGGCACAGGAATATTCAGAGTCCCTCTACAACCAAAGGCAAGGGGTCTGTGAAGATTAGTCAGTTGCGCATAGGACTTAGAATCGTCATTGCCTGTGGTCAATTGGCTTTAGGATCTGCTTCAGAATGTTATACACCCTTGCTTCTCGGAAGCAAAAATTAACTCACTGGAAAAAGAATAATTGGAGCTTAAGACTATACTAGGTAAATGAACAACATACCCACCAATTGATACATAGCAGGCACCTGATAGCTATTTTTTGAATGAGTAAATAAGAATATATGAATGAATTAACCTATTGGATTCTACTTACATTTGTGAATAAAAAGAATAGATAACACAATCAATCTAAAATATTCCTTGTTATTTTGATATAGATATCAACTTGTTGAGCTCTTTCATTTTATGTCTGAGTAAGCAAAGACACTCATAATACATTTCTTAGCATTGTGTATGTAATTTGAAAACTAAGCTATTCCAAATTTTGCATCTGCAAAACACTTAAGACCTCTGCTACATGACTTGGCACTAACTGCTTTCTCTGCCACTCACAGAGGCTATGTGGTGGGAATCTTTGTTGTTCACAGACAATAAAACAGGCTTTTAGCCATTTATTGACTTCTGCACGGTCACAGAAGACAGGGAATGCTCTCTAAAGTCTATGCTTTCAAGAAAAGTTTTCTGATGAAATAAAAAGCAGCTCAATAGAATATGTTTTTCTAAGAACATTCATAATTTATAAAGAGTGATCAAAATATAGTGAAAATGTACATTAAAAATGTATTAAAGTAAAGGACAATTGGCCTAAAAATACTCCCCCTCTCTTGGAACACACTAATCCTTTGGTTCTTGCTGCTTTCTGAAGCAGTTCTGTAAGTGTTCTTTTGTCGGTGTCTTTACAAGATATGTATGATCAAAAAAATATGTATATATATCCAAGGGAAAGACAGTCTTGTAAAAACATTAAGGTGTGTCCATGTTCACCTCATTCATTTAATCTGGCACTGTACCATGGAACTTCTGGCTCTTCCCCAGTGTCAAAACGACCATGAAACATTTTGAAATGATTCAGACATTCAAACAGCCATAGCAGCACAACTGAAAACACTCACAAAAGAAGACTTCCAGAATTACTTCAGCAAGTGGGAGATATATGGAACAAGTACATTTAAAGTGAGGAAGATATTAGGACAATGTGTCTTTTATCATAATGTTTACTATACTGTTCACCTTATTTTTTGATCACAGTTCTTACTTCATTGATATAATTATCTACTAAGGACAATTTCCGAAGAGTCTACTGGGTTTTGAACACTCTGAATATATATGCAAGGACATGTTCATTTCATTACATAATTATCCATAAGAATGTCTTAATATCAGAAACACAATAGTCCTGGGATGATTAATGTGCTGACACTTGATTGGTGGCAGAAAAAGAGCAAAAGTTAGTGTCTCTCCTTTCCACTATATTTCTATGAGACTTTACTTAGTACCCAACCTCTATATGATGGAAAATAAAGCATCTTAACCAATCCAGAGATGAGGGGGCTTAAGAACGGAAGACTTTGTATGTTAATAAACTATGGGCCAATTGTAAATACATCTTTTAGTAAGGATCTGCAGACATGGAAGACACAGCTCTCCTTATTCCAGCACATGGAAACTGTGAAGCACAGTTTTGTACATGCTGCAGGGTAGCACTGTCCAGTTCCCTGAGTCACTGGATCACAACACCACACCTGCGTACAAGGAGAATGTGGGGAAACATTACCCCTTTGGATTACCTCTTCCACCCACAGAATCAAGGAACAAGAAGAAAGGAACACATTGCAATTATAAAGAACTTTTTCACTGGGTTCTGAAGTTCATGGATACCAAATGTCAATATTTACCCCCAAAACTTCTCCATTTAAAAAATACAGCACAATTTGAAATTTTATACTATTCTCTCCTACTTAGGCCTCTTGAAAAGCTTTTGTTATCTCTTAACAATGTCCCAGTATTGTTGACATTTTGTGACCGGCAATTTAATATTTGCCTTACAATCTCCAGAAACTGAAGCTGTTTTCAGCATAATGGCTTTAGTGACCACAGTATCCATAAAATTCTACACAAAATGGACAGAGGCAATAAGCAACTATGATGATAATTAAGTATTAACTGTGTGTCAGAGTTACAAAATAGAATCTTTTAAAATGCTTCTCACCATCTCTTATCACAAGACTGTCGAAGCTACATGTTTGGTGAGATTCAATGTCCATTGAGAGAATGTTGAGTTCCACAGTAGAATCTGGAGCCTGAATAAGCCATGAGCACTCCAAACGATTACTGTACCTCCCTGGCCAGCCAGGGGAGAAAAGAAAGACAGGCGTGTCTCCTGTCCTCAGGAACCCTCCACAAGCACCTGTGGAATGAAAAGCAACATCTCAGAAGTTGGAAAAGCAACTGGTACCTTTTTACTTTAAAGTGATGACCCTATGTTGGAAAACAAACCATCAATAGAAGCAATTTTCTCAAAGAAATCAGTAGCTCTTGCATTAAACTCACTTATTGACACAGCCATAATTTCTTAAGTTTGTCTTTTGTGAACAAAAATACATTATGATCTTTTTCACCATAATTTTGTCATACAAGTTATTTATTATTGAATGCTGACTATCTGCTAAGCATAAAGAATACATATACAGGATCCTCCCCACCCATCTAAGGAATTACACTCATATTTCACATACTTCTCTTAGTAGAGCTATTCACTGTGTTATTTATACTTAGGTAATTTTGAGGTCCTTTTTATAATCTGAAAAATTGAAAAACATAAGCAAAATTTCAGCCTTTATTTTTAGATATATTTGATAGTTTCCTCATTTAACTACAGAGTTCCATTCCTGCAGCCAGATTGTTTAATGAATTGTTTGCTAAATCAGGAACTGTTTATAGTATGTACTTTTCAATATTCAGAACAATGAAATGGTCAAAGGAAACTCCAACTTGATTACTCTTACATGCAGTGCTATAATGCATAACGGAACATAAAACTACTGTACTGAAATGTACAGTATAATCAACAAAAATTATACTATTTTATAAACAAGGTGCATAGTACCAAAAAAATCAAGTGAGGCTTTATAAACAAGATGTACAGAACTATACAAAAAAGGACAGGTTGTAAGTTCAAACCAGGAACCCCCGTAAGTTTGAACAGTCATTATATGGATAGGTCATCAAACAAGGAATATCTGTACATGCTTTTTTTCAGTAATAAGTTTATTGCATTACATGAATGCTGCAAAATTTTCTTTTTTAAACATACATCTTGATCATTTTTACCATATTCAAAAAACCTTACAAACACCTCTACTAATTTTAGAGTATGTTCATCCTCCTGAACAGAAACCATGACTTTTATTTCTCAATATAATTTGCCTATCAGCATCAAGGTTCATCCATATTATTGCCCATATCAGTATTTACTTCAATTCATTTTAAAAAGTGAATTTTATTCAATTGCATGAATAACCACATTTAATTTTTCTATGTATCAGTTAATGAATATTTGACTTGTTTTCATTGTTTTCTTTTTTTGTCTAGATAATGCCAGTATAAACAATCATATATACACTTTTGTGTGGGCATGTATTTAATTCTTTTGCGTGTGTAAGTAAGAGGAATTGCTAAATAAGGTAACTCTGTTTACATTTTTGGGGACAGACTAAGGTTTTACAAAGTAGCCTCCAGATATGCAGAAGAACTCAATTGTTCTATATCTTCACCAAAATCTGTTACTGTGTGTCCTAATAAATATTAAATACATTTTTTCTAGAATACATGTTACTCGTTTATTTTACCATATGTTCTCAAATTATTTGCTTAGTAAGTATTCTGACCACTATAACTAATCTAATTTAAAACAAAGTAGTTTAGATTAATACTAATAATTTAAATAATTTACAAATTTTGCTGTAATATAATACAGGTTAAATATCACTTATCCACGATACCTGAGACCAGAATTATTTTAAATTTTGCCGCTATTTGGATTTTGGAATATTTGCAAAGACTTAATGAGCTAAGCATCCCTAAAATGAAAACATAAAATCTGCAATCTGAAGATTCTTGACAGTCTCATTAATATTCAAAAATTTTAGATTTCAAACCATTTCAGACTTCAGATTTTCAAATTACAGATATTTATCCTGTATAATCCTATTTCTTCCTTTCTCACCCTTTATGCAATTGTCATTAAATTATATATTTAAATATTACAAGCCTACCGAGGCAGTTTTATAATTACAGACATTCCTTGTTCAGTGATCTACCCATATAATGACTGGACATATGAACCTTTTTCTTTTTTCTTTTTTTTGGTACAGTTTTGTGTATCTTTTTTACAAAGCCTCAGTATCTTTCTTTGGAACGTTATACCTTGTTTATACAGTAGTGTAATTTTTGCTGATTATATAGCACAGAACAGTACTGTAGTTTTATATTTGTTACACATTATGGAACTGTAAGTTATACAAATAAAGATAAATCATCGAGTTGGAATTTCCCTTGTTCATTTCTTTGTTCTGCATATTTTAATGTACATTCTATATACAATTCGTCACTTAGAACCAATTCATTTATTAATCATGGAACAGAAGTTGATCATTCAACAAGGAATGTCCATATTGCTTTGCTCAGAGATCTTTACCAATCAGACAGTAGAAGTACAGTTACAAATGAAAATATATTTATACTGTTTTTTATGTTTACTTATATAGTTAATCAACTGAAATTTCTGATGCTTTCAAAATACTTTCCTACCATTTTCAATAATCTATATTTGATGAGACATTATTTTCTTATTTTTCCTTAATTCTCTAGACATCATTATTTAGTTAACATATTTGTAATATTTGACTTAAAATCGTTATTAAGTAAAATATCCTGAGTTTCTCTGGAACAACTTTTTTTATTACTTCTTTTCCTTTGTAGGGGCCCAATGTCCTGGCACAGCTATATACCTGTGTATATGTTTCTGGAGTCTTGGAAATATGTCAGAGCTTCCTAAATCCCCAGGCTGATATCTCATTCCCCAATTTTTTGGTCAGTTTCTCGTTAGCCGTAACTGGTATCACTGCTTCATGCAATTGTGATGTTAGACAGCTGACCCTGATTTATTTTCAGAAACATCTCAGGGACAGGGGTGTTTAAGTAGAGTACCCTTGTGGGTCAAGTGAAGACAAGATGTGAGAAAGCAGTTTTGCAGAAAGCTGCTAGGTAGATTAAATAATGGCAACTCTTTGGAGACAGGAATGGCCTGGAGCTCCAGTGCCCCTCCACTGCAATGCATGGCTGCTAAGCTGCTATACTGCTGGTTTTTGCTGGTGTCTTGGTTGTGGAGCTGTTGTAAAACTACTCCAAAACTAGCGGAGTGAGAAAGAGACGGGTGTTTAAAAAGTCACTGACCGTTTTTTGCTCAGACTGTTATTTTCTTGAGTAACTACACCTCAGCTTGGTCACTTTCTAGAGGTCTCAAAAAGTTGAGTTTGACAGTTTTTATCTGTGTTCTCATCACTTTTATGAAGGAATCGATTTTCTAATGATTCCAGAAGTATATATGTCATGATTCCAGAAGTTTATGGCTCTTACTTCATAATATATCCTCAAATATATATTGCATTAAATTAAATATGTGCATGTGGCATGCTATTGGTATGTTTGATATGCAAATATATTTTAAAGTATTAAGATTTACTAGTTTTAATAAAATTTTCATGTGTGGTATTTTTACAGAATAAAACCTAGGGAATAATAGTTATATTCATTGATATTTCAGTACTTTTATGAATATGTGTGTGTTATTTGCAAATCAAATTTTCAGCTCTTAAATCATCTCTAGAAATTATAGATAGAGTATGTTATGGTTATCAAAAATTTACTTTGTATGAAAATACAATGAAAAACCTGCATTTTCAGGCACAATATAACTTTTTTTTTGTCTTTTTCGTTTTTTTATTGGTACCAGGGATCGAACTCACGACTGCCTGCTTGCAAGGCATCGCTGAGCTAAATCCCCAGCCCCAATACAACATTTTTACAACATGTAAGTATTTGTGAATTTGAAAAGACCCCTGACCATGTGGAGAAGCAGTATGGGCCCCGACCCATTCTTATTTGTGTATTTATGAAGAGGCCTTTGAAACATTGGTCTACTTGTATCAGACCTGAGAAGAATTTCAATTACCAAACACACCTGTAGCAATGGTAGGCAAAGGTCCAGTGGGATGGTCTACTGCAAACCACTCCAAAAGGAATCCCTTCCCTGAGCCTGAAGAGTCAGACAAAAACTGAAATGTCAAAGAATTTCCCATGGAGCTAAAAGATTGAACTTCAGTACCACAGTAAGCTCCAAGGAGGCGAGAGTGAATGCCAACACCATCATAAATCTGCATGGAAAAAGGAGATAATAGAACATTGCTTATATCTCGATTTTTCTTCTAAAAAAACCCTTAAAAGATAGTTTATATTACTAGAATTTTATCATAACAAAAAATAAACAAACATCTTCAGTTTAAAACTGAAAGTCTTTAAATGCAAAATACTGTTGCAAATAATTTAAGGTGTTTCAAGAGATGTGTATCTTTATTGCAATTAAATTAATCCTCTGTAGGATATAGCATATTGAACCATTTACAGTAAAATTTGTCAGTGGAATAATATAACCTTCTATAGCTACACAATGACAATACTTAATAAGTATGGTTTGGAGCACTGAAGGCAGGAATTAAGAAGAAAAAAAGGAAAATGACAAGGAAGAGAACAGGTTTAAAAGAGAAAGTTGACAGGTATCCAGAAAGAATTTCTTTCTCCACAGAAGGAAAAAATAATCAGTGTAAGAATCACAACTACAGGACTCAGCACACTCAAAACCCCCAATAAATTGCTTTTCATTTGGTCTAAAATACTTAATTACATATTTAGAGGCTTGCTTTGTGATACTTTTGAAATAATTAGCAACAATTTCATTGCAATAGTAATTATAAAATCTTCTACTAAACTTCATTTTTGAAAAATCCATAGCATTTTGCAGTAGATGGGCATTTGGCCTATTTCCAAGATTTAGCTATTACAAATTGTGCTGCTATAAACGTGGGTGAACATGTATTGCTGCGGTATGATGTTTTCAGTTCTTCTGGGAAGATACCCAGGAGGGGGACAGCTGGGTGGAATGGAACCTCCAATCCTAGTGTTTTGAGAAATCTCCACCTTGATTTCCACGGGTTACCCCAATCTGCACTCTCACCAACAGTGGAGCAGCTTGCCTTTTTGCCCTGAAGCCCCTCCATCACTTGTTATTGGTTGATTTCTTGATGGCAGCCATTCTTTCTGGAGTAAGATGTTATCTCAGTGTTGTTTTAATTTTCATTTCTCAAATGACCAGTGAATTGAAACATTTTTTCATATATTTACTTGCCATTTGTATTTCTTCATCTGAGAAGTGCATATTCATCTCAAATAACCATTTTTGAATTCAGTCTTTGAATTTGGGGAGTCTGATTTTTTTCAATTGTTTATATGTTCTAGATATAAGTCTTTTGTCTGAGGGACAGTTGGCTATAAAATTATTTCCCATTCTGTGGGCTGTCTTCTCACTCTGTTGGTGATTTCTTTTGGTGCGGAAAAAACTTTTCAATAAGATGAGATTCCAGATGTTGATTTTTTAAAGAACTTCTCATGCAGTTTGAATTTTTTTCATGAGAATTTCTCTGTATAACCCTGTGTCTTCAAGACTTCTACCTACCTTGTCATCCAGTAAATATTTAGATCTTTGATCCATTTTGACATTTGTTTATTGCGTGGGGAAAGACAAAAATGTGGTATTTTTATACAATGGAATATTGCTCAGCTATAAAAAGGACAAACTCAAGGCTTTCATAGGTAAATGGATACAATTTCAGACCATTCTCAAAGTGAAATAAATCATACTTGCATGTATAAACATTATATTGTTGCTCTAGTACAAAAAACAGAGTAAATAAGATCCAAAATGTACAGTAGATATTGTGAAAGTGAAAAAGAAACAAAGTGCTCAAAAGGAGAGAACACCTGGGATGGGGAAAGGATAAAAGAAAGAAGGGAAAAGATCATATGGATAATATATATGATATATTTTATATGCAGATAATTATACTACTAATCTCTGTGAATTCTTTAAAAAAATTTGTGCTTTCACTGTTTGATCATTTTTTCATGCCTATGTTGTAAAGCTGAGCAATTATATCAATACTCAAGATAATAATACACAAAATATTAATCACTGTTAATCTATTATTTTGTGTTGAAAGTCTATATCATCATTTTTATTCTTTTTTCATTTAAAAAATGTCTGGGCATGGCATATGTGGACTCTGCTTAGAGTTTCAAAAGGCCAGAATTAAGATGTTAATCAGTTATGGTCCTGTCCAGAACTTGAGGTTTTCTTTCAAGAACTTAGTTACCTGTGGTTATGGAACAAGATCTATTTTTCCATTGCATATGGGACAGAGTTGACTCTTAGCTCTTGAAGGCTTTTCTCAGTTCCTAGTTTTGTGTACTTCTCACAACATATTAGCTGACTTCCCTGAATCAGCAGCATGATCTTTTGTTTATGTAATGTCACATAATCCCTGAAAGGACTAAACCCTCATAGTCACAGGTCCTGTTCATATTCAAGGAGAGAGGAATTCTGAGGACGTATGTACAAGTTTTGAATCTGGGGACATCTCAGAATTCTGTTTAACACCATGTATTTGATTAAAATAATGTTGTACTGTGTTTGTCATTTACATACATTCTTTGGAAGAACAAAATTTAGAAAGAAAAAATATGGGGCAATTATTTTTGTACAAATTATTTTGTAAAAATCTGGTCGGGCCAAAGGCACTGAGTATACAAGATGCACAAGATGGGGTCCCAACCTTCGCAGATCCGATATTTCTGGAATTGATACAATGTGCAATGTCTGGATGACAATGATCATTGTAAATTTTTATATTTATTCATTCTTATATAGTCCTTTAAATCTTTAATTCTTGAACAGAGGAGCAAATAGGATAATGGGATATAAGATAGAATAAGTACTTACGGCACACATGCATGCTAAGACAAAGCCCAACAAGTAAAGTAATATACTGCCAAAATATCCTTTAACTATAGAAAACAATAAATGATACTGCAATCACTTTTGTATAGGTAATTAACAGGCAGTAATCATGATTTGTGGCAGACCATCCATTCCACACATTTTTCAATTGCTTGAATAGCCATTAATTTGGACTTGTAGTATATCAAAATTTATAAATATGTAATTCACATGAAAACTCACCTTTAATGTGTCATAATAGCAGTTATATGATGATTCAATGTCCATCTCCAAGATTCTACCATGGATAAGTTGAGAAGCATTCACATTTACTATCCATTTATAATTGGCATGATGGGGGTAGTTTCCAGGCCAGAAAGGAGAAGCGATTTTCCCATGAGTTCCCTCAATATTATCATTGCCAAATACTAGGAGGAAAAACAGAGTAATAAATCAGACTATTTAGAATAGTTCTTTAATCAAATGAAAAAACAGAAAACACAAAAGGCAAGTGAAGTTAAAAAGGATGGACTTTTAATCGACTGTGATTTCTTTTCTGACTACTGAAAGAAATACTGCTTCCGATTTGGTTTCCAGGCTGCCTATTAATTCCTTGGAGAAGGGTGTTTCTCTAAATGGAATCCTATATCCGTAGCAGGTTACAACGTATGAAAAGAGGTGACCATTTCCCACGTGAAAAGAGCTCCCTATTCCTCAGGGAACACAGGAATGTAGAGAAGGTCCCCCCATTCTTTATTTTTGTTTTATCTATTTTACTTTGTTTTACAAAAGAAAGGAAATTTTTCTTTTCAAATTCTAAACATAAGAGAAACTGAACGCACAGAGAAACCAACTATGCAAAACTTGACTTAAAAAACAAAAATAGGGCTGAAGATGTAGGTCAGTGGTAGAGTGCTTGGTTAGCATGCTCAAGGCCCTGAGTTAGATCCCCAGCACTATAATCAATCAGTCAATCAATCAATCAATCAAAAACAGTTAACATTTTATCTCTGTTGGGAAGATACTCTGTAGTGATTATATTTGAGCACTTAAATCAACTCGAAGGTAATAATAAAGATATTTAATTTGCAAATATAGTTTATGAGATCAAATGAAATACATTTAATAGAAATATACCATGCCTGAGCTGTACTAGAAGACTCTGTAGCATGTTATCCTAAAAAAATATTAAATATCAAGCACAAACTAGAGCTTAAAAGGAATATTACACCATCAAAAATATCCTCACTTGCTCTTAATGAGCCACTCACATATAATTTAGTTTTTCCAATATATAATAAATTAATTCCACAATACAAAAGAACAGTCTTGCTTAATGCATTCAGAAAAACGTATCATTTCTAGTTTGTAGCACATACTTCAGAAGCCATGACTAAAACAGAACCGACTTACTCAGAGTAAATGTGGCCTGGAAGCCCATGGCGCTGTGTGAGCCATCTGAAACAAATCTGATCCACAGAAGATCCTCGGTAGCAGACGAGTAGTTGTGGAGTGGGGAGCTTCCACAGTACCTTCCTACCAAGTGGCCAGTGGCATTCCCTTCTCGGATCTCCACAAAATCTTTGCTACAGTTCTGAGAGTCTTCCAACTGAAAAGATCTGATTTGGAAAGAAAAATAGTAGTTAAACAGGATAAAACTGATATAATGAATTTTAGGATCATCCTGCACCATATGTCTGTTAATTTGTTCATTTTTTAAAAACTTTTTTAACTTTGATCAGATTCCTTAGCTACATAAAAGAATTTTTTTCACTCAAACTTGTTGAAATCCCTAGACAAGAGATACTGCTTTCAAGGAGTTTTCTTCTTGGTGGGATAAATGGCAAAAATACAGAAAAAAAAAAAAAAAAGGTAGGACATGAGTGCAGTTGAGGTATGAAGTGCCATAAGAAGGGGCTGGGACTGTAGTGCAGTGGTAGAGCACATGCTTAGTTCAGCATGCAAAAGGCTAAAACACAAAACACACTAGTCATTTATTTCATGCTGTGTTCAATTCCCAGCATCAAATAAATACATACAAGGGCATGAAAATTTTGAGCATCTGAATGTGGGTTGCAGTAAAATTTGAAGAGATTTTGAAGATGAAAACATGGTCATTAGTTGGTTGGGGAGTGTGGGCAGTGAGCTGAGAACACACACCTACAGAGGCTCACACGCAGAATAGGGGGAGGCTCCCTGGAACCTGTGGGACAGCTAACTTGGCTAGTACCACAAAACCATGAACACACGGGTACACAGAGCAGTACAATGGGATGACTTTGGCAGAGATTAAGTGCCATGGAAAGGCATGTGTGCTTGATTTCTGGAAAGAGAAAAATATGAGATTTTCAATAATGCAGACTGGTATACAAATGTGGCCTCTTCAGCTTCTTTTATACTGTGCACCTGTGAGGCAAGGGGATTGACAAAACATCTATCGATCTCATGATTTTCAGAAGAAACATGGTAAAGAGAGGAACAGGTAGGTGCTAAGTGAAAGCATCTTAAAACGTTTTCTGATTGCTTAAAGATAATCAAGCTAATGTGGAGTGCGTATAAGGGTAGACAAAGAGATGAGTGAGACAGAAAAGAAAATTCAGCAGAGAATCCACAAATAGTCAATACAGTGCAATGCAACGGAGCAAGGGAACTCAATGAGGAAAATGGCATTTTAACAACCAGAGGGAGGAGAAGAGAGGAGAGGACAGGAGGGGAGGAAAGGCGAGGAGAGAGACAGAGAGAGAGAGAGAGAGAGAGAGAGAGAGAGAGAGAATGAGTCTCAGCTCCTGTTCCTTCACATGCACAAACTAATATTTCTTAGAGATAAATACAAATATAGAACCATAATATTCCTAGAAGAAAACAAGACTATTGTTGCAATCTTAGCATAGGCAAATATTTCTTAGCTAAAACACAAAACACACTAGTCATAAGATAAAACAATCAATAAATTTGACTTTATAAAAATTTTTTCATCGTTAAGAATATAAACCGTATATATCTAACAATAGACCCATACTGGAATGCAATGGAAATTTCTACAAACAAGTTTAAAATGGACAAAAGATTTGAAATAAAGGAAAACCAATGAGAATTTGAAATAAAGGAAAACCAATGAGAATATGAAAAGCATTCTATGTGATTAGTCATCAGAGCAATTCACGTTAGTACCATAACATGGTACTAACCATCAGAATGGCTAAAATAAAACAAAACAATGGTAAGACCCCATGGTGGCAAGCATGCCAAACATCTGGAACATATGTTCTTTCTGGGACTATACAGTAATACAACCTTTGAATAATTGTTTGAAGATACTTATAAAATCAAACACATAGCCAATTAGCCCAAAAATTCCACTCCTAAATATTTATCCAAGAAAACTAAAAACATATGATAATGCTAGTATCTTGAATATAAAATAATTCTTGCAGCTCAAAAAAGCACCAATAACCAATCAAAATGATAAAGGAACTGAAAATACATTTCTCCTAAGAAGACTCATGAATAACCAATAATAATATGAAAAGATGCTCAACATTATTAGTTGATAAGCAAATGCATATTAAAACTACAGTAACCTAACACTTCATGCCACTAAGATAAGATACTATGATAAAAAAAAGAATTGTTTATAAAGACAGAGAAAGCAGAATCCTTGTGCTTAGCTTATGGGAATATAAAATGTATACCCATTGTATAAAACATTTTGAGGACAAAACTGTACTTAAAAACTGAGCACAAAATTCCATATGTTCCAGCAATTCCACTTCTAGGAATATGCCCAAGAGAATTGAAAGCATCTGCTCAAATAGATACATATACACTGATAGTCATAATAGCATAAATCATAAGAACCAACAGGTGAAAACAACTCAAATGTCCACTGAGAGATAGTGGATAAAGAAAATGTAACACTCACAATCATTATTCATCCTTAAGAAGGAATTGAATTCTGACACACATCGCAACATGGATGAACTCTAAAAATATTATGCTAAGTTAAATAAAACAGCAAATGACCCATATTATATGATTCTACTTTGAAATCCAGAGCAGGAAAATCCAGAGAGACAGAGAGCTACCAAAGAAAAAGGGGAGAAGAACTGGGGATTTGTTTAATGAGTGGAGTGCTTCTACTGTGATAATGAAAAAGTTCTGGAAATGAACAGTGAGATGGTTGTATAACACAGCAAATGCACTTAATGCTGGAGTCATACACATATGAACGGCTAAAATGGTAAATTTTATGTTATGGTATATTTCCCCATAAAAACCTGTGGAATATGGATTGATAAAATTAAATAGTTGGTACCTGGCTTAAGACATTAACCTTGCAGTAAATTACCATGGTAATGACAAGGGGCAGAGCAGAACATATTTTTGTGATATATTGAACTTAATGAAAGTACCGCTATCTGTTGGAGGTAACACGCAGGTTTGGATTTTAGTATAGACCCTGGAGCTGAACTACCAGGTCGCCTGTATGTAAGTGGGTCTCCAAGTGTCTGTGAGGTAATGGTTCCCAGATGCTTATGGATGCCAAAATCTGCAGACACTCAAGTTCTTATACAAAATGACATAGCATTTACATATGATAGATATATATCCTCCTGTATACTTTAAATCACCTCTAGATCACTCATAATACTTAATATAATACAAATGCATAAATTGTAGTATAGTATACTGCTTAAAGAATAATGAAAAGATTATTACAGATGCATATTTTAAATTACTTTTGATACTCGGTTGAATTCATGGATGCAAAAGTCTGTTTAAGGACAAGATTCTAGGATTAAGAAATGCAAATACAAAGGAGACAGAAAAAGAAGCAATTTGTAAAATTCATAAATCTTAAGTCTGAGTCAAAATTTAACATTAAAAGTTCTATTTGCCACAAAACAAAGGAGTAAAGGAGATAAAGGACACAAAGAGATGCAAAAATATATTGAAAAAGGATCGACAGCAATTGCTGATAAATACTTGATAAAACTCAACACCCATTCATCATGAAACTTATAAAAATTAAGATCTGAGGGAAATTAATTATATAAATGCTTACAAAAATCAACAGTGAATACAGGTAAACATTTTAAAGTATAGCCTTAAAATCAGAAATAACACAAAGACACCTGTTATCATTGTAGTCCCACACTGCACTAATGGGTCAGACAGTGCAATGAGACAAGGAAAGGAAAAATCAATGAAAACTGCAAAGACTGCAAAAGAGAAGCTATAGTGAATATGCCACATCGAAGCTGTCACAAGTACAAGATGGCTCAGGACAGTGAGGGACAGCACTTAAGTGCCACTAGGGAAAAAGCAAACAAACAAACAAACAGTTCTATGTGATCCATAATGTAAATTTAATTTTTCAGAGTGCTTTTAACTCTTGCAAAAAAAAATAATCAGCTAGTTTTGTATGTAAGAATTGTTTTCTTTCTTAAAAAAAAATAAATCTAGCACTATCTACAAAAATAAGGTATAACTCTATATTCAAAGGAGCTTACTCAATAAATATTTGTTAAGCACCTCAATGCGTCAGGTCCTCTTTAGCTACTAAAATAAACATGAGAAAAAAATTATCATTTTAGAGGACAGAAATGTAACTGGATCAGATAACAAAATGTCCAATATGCTTTTTCTTATATCAGCAAACATTTAAAAACTGTAATTTAAAATTTCATTTAAACAAGTTCGATCCCCGGTACCAATAAAAATGAAAAAAAGACAAAAAAAATTTCATTTAAACAAATATTTTTGACTCTCTACAGTATTGTCAGATATCATCAATGAGGATTAGGGACTAGAAAACAACAGCAAGAGACAGACAAATGCACTTCTTTTTCAAAGGTTTATATTGTAGGAAGAGAGAAATCTTCAGATAAGTAACACTACAATGAGATAATTCTAAATTCTAAGAGAAAAAAATAAAAGTAAAATAAGGGGCTTTATTTTAGGTAGAAAAGTCAGGTTATATCTGCAAGTGGACATCATTTTCAATGGCAATAAAATATAAGGCGCATGTGAACATAAGATCTTTTAAACCTTCATGGAAAAAAATACAAAATTTTATTGATGGACATACAAGAGCTAAATCAATAGAGAGATCCCTAATTCAAGGACATGAAGTGTCACTATCACGAAGATGATAATTCCTTCAAAATTAATTAATAAATTCAATCAATAAGTATGAGTCCATTCATGTACAATGTAAAACAGAAAATAGTACTTACTGGATGCAGACATGATAAAAGTATGAAATGTGAACAGAAATGATACATACGAAATTCAACATATGAACTACCCTTGTGATTAGAAAGTAAGGGACATGGACAGGAACTTTTGTTGTTCTGAAATATTTATTTAAAGATAATTCTTAAAGGAAAATTAATTAAGTTGTAAGAAAAAAATGTAGAAGAAGCTAGGTGCAAACTGTTCTATCAGTTGTTGGAAGGAGATTTTGTTAAAATGAAAAACAAGACCAAGTGAGGATAGGCTGCAGAGAAAAAAAAAACCATCAGAAAAGGGAGAAAACATGTCTCAAGAACAGGAAATACACTTGTGTAGTACACTGTATGTATCACTCAGTCAGTCTTGAAATGGTGTACAGCAAGACTGAACACTAGGGTAAGTGTAGTGCTCCCAGGGGCTCCATTTCAGCTAAGGGGTTATAGGATGCCGGCCTGCAGCCAGCATGAAGGCTTCGGCCAATTCATGCACCTCTATGGAATCACTGTATCAACCACACATCTGTGTGCTCACTACTGAGCAGGACACAAGACTGAACTAATTGCTCTACTCCAGTATATTCTTTGCTTTTCAAACCAGACACTAGCATTGTTAAGTCTCTATCTAGAAAGCAATAAACCTATGGACCTCAGGATTCCATCAAAGTGGGTCATCAGAGAACAAGTCACCAGCACTGTATTTTAAATGTAGTTACAGCAGTAAGTATGATTAACAAATGAAAAGCAGAAGAAACCAGGAAATGTCTGCATCAGGCAAAGCAAACTCTCATTTGTCTTTACTTCCTTGACAGTTTGGTGCTTTGTAATACAACATTTATATCTACCATCACTTTTCACCAGGAATTGTTCTATCTGTGGGATGACTATTAAGTTTGTTGCTTAAATTTAGGTTCAGTTTTATTACCCATAATAATGTCAAATATGGTAAAAAAAAAAATTTTTTTTTTCAGCTTCTCAGACAGGGAAGAATGGAAGATTATTTTCCTCAGAATTTAAATTGTAAGAAATTGCCTCTAAAACCTTTCTACTCTAAGTATGGTAAATGCTCAAATTATGGTCCAGCAGCATCAACAAGACCAGAGAGCTTATTTGAATGAAGGATTATGTTCCATTAGCTGACTGAATCAGAATGGAAATTTTAGCAAGACCCCAGGTGATCAGTGTGTTATTAACATTCTGCACAATTGTCGAGAAGATTACAAAGTAGAGATCTTTTTTTGAGCATCAGACAATAATCTAGTGCTAAACAGCAAAAGATACATTTCATTAGAACTTTTCAACTAAACTTTTAGAAACATTTTTATTGTTCTTGGCAATTGCTCTTAGGCTGGTACATCTTATAAGCAAGTCTACCCTGTGGCTAAGATGTTAGTAAAAATATGATGCGAAGCAAAATAAAATCACTGTTTCTCATTACTTCATTTCAATTGTTGAATCAAGACCAACTACTTTCTAAAAGCACTGTGCAAGCATAAAGTACAATTTTTGTTAATTCCTTTAAATATACTTTACCAAAAAAAAAAAAAAAAAAAAAAACAAAACCTTTTAAGGATTTTTCTCTTCTGTCTGTTGCAGACTCAACCGTAATTTCTCCAGTTTTTCTCCCTGCTCAATTTCACACCACAGTATCCACAATCCAAACCCTATGTTTTAGAATTTAATGTGATTCATATGTTTCCCTGAGGCTTCTCATACACCCCAGGGAAGGTTTCTAAGAACCCATCTGGATATAGTTTAGATGAAGGAAGAATATTATAACTCACAGGCCTTGCCGGGAAGCCCTTCTCATTATCATCTGTGCAAAAAGAAGCATTTTGTGTTCTGCAAAATTCATTTTAACAATAAAATACAAGCAAATAACATAAAAAGTAGTGAAGTTTAACTTCTTCTAGGTAACAAAGGAAATGGCAGAGCCCTTAAGAACTCTTCTATACAGTAATTAAATTAAGACTTAATGTCCATAAAACAGTAAAATGGGCACAGCTTGTTGTATTTATACTCTTGGATTCTCTAGAGGGAGAGTTCTGTCCATGGGCATTTATTTGTGAAGCATAATAGAAGACACTTCAGAAACAGCAAATACTGGGAGAATTAACATTCAACAGCCTTGTGCTACACAGTGTATTTTCAGTTTGACATCTTTAATCCTAATGGTGGTTCTAGAAGTTCATTAACATCTTTTGAGGTTTTAATTAAACAGGTTTTATGTTGCTTCATTAATAATTTGCCACAAACTTGGATCTTATGTGTCTTATCCAATCCAGTTTCTGGCAGTCACTGAGCATTAGAGGGGTCCACAGTATGAATGTTGCAGACTAAGAAGAAAAAACCAAATAAAGAAGTTATTTCATTTGCAAAGTTTTGAGGCCTGGCAAGGATGGGAGGGGCCTTGGAATTCATTATAAGAACGGTGATTGCGTCTTATTCTTCACCGTATATAAACGATCTTGTATGTGCTTACTACGTATTTACTACTAATGCTTAGTATGTAATAGGGTTTGATAAGCATTTGCTGAATACAGGAATAAATATATGTCAGGTGAATGTTATACAGAGAGACTTGTTCTCAAATAGAATTTTTCATTTTTAGTAAACATCAAAACAAACCAAAACTTTCTTCCCACATGGCAGCTTAAAACTGCATTGGCTTTCACACATGCAGAGGGTGTCTGTCTTAACACAATGCCACTTGCACTCTGAAGGTGAATTCTCTGACTCATGGATTAAAGAAAGCAATTTGAGATGTTTGAACTTGGTCCACAAATAGAACTGTTGTCTCATATTTTTATCAGTTCTTGATGGAAAGATGGGCATGTCTAGGAGGAAGAGGAAGACTGTTGAATATGCCAGTATACTCCAAGCCTTCTCTCCACATTATGTTACTAACAGACTCATCAACACAGAATTAGCAATTCCTACTATAACTAAGCAATACGTAATATAGTATGGTGTATAACATTTAACTCAAAATGATAACAAAACACTAAAGTATTATGTTTCCAGATTTCTTAAGCATCCAAAGTAGCATGATTGATTAAAACATTCCATTCATATGCTATGGATTTAGGAATATTTACTTCTGGGAATTACGATCATTGCTATTTAAATTAATCTAAGACTACTCAGAAAATGTAAGATGCCACTGTTAAATCCATTTCTCAGTCATATTCAAAAGATGTTACAGCTTCAAACGGACTTTACAAATCAACCACTGAATTTCAAAAAATTTCCAAGATCATTCTGACAGATAAAAGAAGAAAGGGGGATTAGGTTAGGGATAAGATACATAGGTACAAAAATAGTCTTAATTGACATGAGAATTTCTCAACTGGAAGAACCTGAAATCTGCCTAAATTCAAAAAAAAAAAAAAAAAAAAAAAAAGATAAAATTACTGTACCTGACCAGGAATGTTCCATACATTTATTCACCAAGAGCTCAAGAATGTATTCCTGGTAGTGTTAACACAGCTCCCTAGGACCATTGTTGAGAGAATCCTCAAGTTATTTATAACCCAAACTATGACTCAAACAAAGGAAATCTGAAAAAGACTCCCAAAAGTTCCCATCATCTTCTCTTTAGCAGTTGCTTGACCACGTATGCTACTGATTGTTAATCCTATTAGTAACAGAGTTTCCTTCCTACAGATTCATTAGCACTGAAACAATATATCATAAAAAAAGATTTACGTAAAAGACAGCTGGATCCGGTTGCCAGGGGAACTGAAGATGTTCCAGACACATTCCGCATTAGGGGGATAAATGTCAGGGTAGCCAGGGGTCTCGAAGATGCCTTCAGCCATGTGGAAGTTTCCACCACAAGCTAGAGGACAAGAGAAATGAATAGAATGTCAGAGCACAAATCAAAAGCGAATGACAATATAAAGAAAGAACATTAGAGCCTTTATCAGCATCCAAGGATATATAGCATTTTCTAAATTCAAGCCATATTAAAGGAAAGGTTCTGAAACTGAAAACTAAGATGTGCAGAGGTGGTGGATCAGAAAGAATCTCTGCAGTGTCCTCTCTAAGAGCCTGTTTCTCTGTGTGAACTGTAACTTCGGGTAAAAAAGATTTTTAATCATACAACTACTTGATTTTTCTGACCAGGATTATCTTCAACCCTCACCTAGAAGGGATGGCAGTATTCTAGTTTTTACTTCTTTGAGGAACACCAAAACACATACCCCAGCTGTCCTTCAGTTTTTTACTAACATGAAAGTTAACAGTTAATACAATTCCTCCTGTCTAAGAAACCCAGTTGGTGTTGGTGGCTCCTCTCTCCCCTTCTCCCATGTGCCTCCCTGGCAACATCCAAACCCTGCCTGAGCCCAGCAGCAAGGCCCAGGAGATGGGGGAACTGCCATGTGGTTGTTCACTCATAAGAGATGCCATAAGACATTAGCAGTCAAGGACCACCTTAACAAACATATCAGTAAGACACAGTCATGTGAGAACATGAAATTTAGCTAAAAACACAACCAGGTTTCCAGTCAATGTTATCACTTTAGAGTTTGCTATTGTAGGGCTGGGGATTTAGCTCAGTGGCATAAGCGCCTGCCTGGCAAGCACTAGGTCATGAGCTTGGTCCCCGGTACCAAAAAAAAAAAAAAAGTTTTACATAGAGTTTGCTATTGTTAGAATTTATCTGTACATCTAATTGGGAAGAAGACAGGATTAGGCACAGAGGTGATTTCAAGAAAGAAGCTCCCAACTTTGGAGGTAAAAAAGTCCCAAATAACAAATCAAAAGGTCTACCACAGCCTGCTGACTTGGTAACCCTTTGCTCATGCCTCTTACCTGATGTTGATGCAGTGTATAAAGCATGAAAACCAGCATAATTGCTTCCAGAATCAGAGATGAACCTCAGTGTCAGGGCACTGCTGAAGGACGTGATGGGATGGGGCATGGAGGAACCACAATAGCGGCCTACGAGATAAAGGTAATGACAAAGGAATGAACCATGATATGGCAGAGGCCATAAACACATCAACCAAAGGTACAAGAGAACCACTCATTCAGAAGAAACCATTACTAGGAGAACCAATTAATCCCTGTTAGTTTCTCAGACAATGCCTGACAATTCAAAATAAGCTCTAAATATTAGCATTGGAGAGATGATTTACGTGGTGCATGATAAAGAACAAAGGGGAAGTTTACATGATCTGGCTCCAAAAGTAACTCAAGTACAACTCAGGTAAAATCTCCAAATAGTATGGACCTGCCAAAATAAATACACTAATATTTACCAACCTCAGTATAATGCAGTGCAGAAAAGTGTGGTTGTTGGAGCCAGATGGCTCAAATTCAACTCTTGGTTCTGCCATTCACTAGCTTTGTGATTTGGAGTGTGCTGTACCTCATTTTTCTCACATGATAAAAGGGTATAATGTCATTTGAACAGGAGTGCATTATTATTTATAAAATACTTAGAATAGCACCCAGCACGAAGCAGTACTATATAGATGGTTGTTAAATAATTCACCCCATCCCTGGCCAAAGACTCATGGACCAGTGCCTCAGGAAATACCATGAGAGATGTGCACAGCACATACGGTGCTCACTGGCTGCCTCATTGGCGGCTCTGCGCCAAGCACCAGGAATCAGGCAATAAGCAAAATGAGTCTCTTCTTGACACAGCCTGTCTTTTACTACCATAGGAGAAGTCTGTGTGACAAAATTCAGAAACTGCTAAGTTGATGGCAAAACTTATTAGTTCTGAAATTATTTTGCTTGAAAACAGTTTAGAAGGTACAGAAGAGCACACTTTAATTTTACCGGCATGTCTAACAAAAGGACTGATTTTTAATTTAACCAATTAAATTTTTTGCTTTGACTGAAGACAAAGAAGAAGTATGCTCAATGTGAATACACAAAAACCTCTTTTTCAAACAGAGACAAGAAATTTCAGAAAGAATTTTATTTAAAGCTGAAGCAAACTTTATCCCACAACTCTCTCTCTTGCAACTCTTCAATTTTAAAAATACACACAAACTGTTCATGTCCTTGAATATAAACACACTGGGTTTCCTGAACCCCATATTAAACCCTGCTTTTTTATTCTCTAATTATATTTACTTGGCTTATTGCCACTCTTCACATTTATTAGAAACATTATAACCTTGAATGGTAGTATGTAAATATGGAGTTATATAAATAGCACACAGCCACAACCACAGATGTAAATGAGTGATGTCAACAGTACCTCGGAGGGGTGCATCAGAGTCGCTGCCATCCAAAACTTCTATATAGTCCCGTGTACATCCCCTACTATGCTGGAGTCCAAAGTTGGTAAAGGAGAGAGTAATATGATTGACTATAACAAAAAAAAGCAAAAATGATGGGAGATTATTGAATAATCTGGCAAACCAAATATATAGGGGAAGACATTTTACCTCTGATAATTTCATATTCCACAGGATTTTTCAAGGAGGGAAAAAGGAATTTGGTAGATCTGTGCCGAGTGGATGAAGACAGGGAACAGCATAATTTGTTCGCTAAAGGATTCGCTGAAATGGCTGAAGTGTTTTTTTGTTTGTTTGTTTTTGCACTAGCAGGGATCAAACTTACCACCTCATGCTTGCCAGGCAGGCGCTTATGCCTGCTGAGCTAAATCCCCAGCCCAAAATGGCTGAAGTGTTAACAGAATTCATAGTTTTGAAAATGCCTATAGGATCTGAAGAGCTGGTAGCAGTAAACAACAACAGAACTGTGGGAAATGTGCTGTTGGAAAACAGCAGTCTTTACATGTTTTTATACCAGTCACTGCTGTGTCCCTCTCAAAGCATTCGTTCTCAAAAGACTCTCCACATGTCCTTGTAAGTAAGACCTTCCTTCCCCAGGGCGCACACATCCCAGCACACTCAGGTTTACTTGAAGGTCACAGCTAGTGCCCTAGAGGTTCCAGTTTACCAAGACAGTTTTGAATTACTTGCAGAACAGCAAGCGCCTGGGTACATTTTCACTTTTGTCATTCTTCCAGGGCACCTAATCTACAGAACAAGATCTTTTCCTGTTACTGCCCTTGAAGCAGTGAGATCATTCATCTAAATGCTTTACAACTCATTAGAAAAATAATCTTTAGGCACAGAAGTGCTGGGAGCAAGACAGGGGGCTTCTTTATGGACCTCATATTTAGGGCTTTCCCTTCTCCATCTGCAATTGGCTAAGGATCATGGCCCTGCATATTACCAAGTGGATGAAGATACTATCACTTTGTTAGTTCTTAACACCGTTATGAAAGATTTAGATAATATTTAAGCTGAACTCTTCATTTTGTAAATTTTTTGTACTTGAGATTGATTACATTAAGTGACTTGCCTATTTTCAACAGATCATAAATTGCAGAGCTGAGTTAGACTTTTCCATATTATATCTGAAACATAAATTTTTTCTGAAAATCTCCAAAGAGGGCAGGTCTCAAATAAAAAAGGACTCACAATGGCCCCAGGATCACTTTCATTGGAGCTGTTTTGCTCTGTCCTTTGAGGTTATTGCTTCATTTTTTTTGCTGGTAAAATGTGGACAATAATACTTAAAACCAGACTGTTAGACTGTTACCAGTTCAGAAGTAAGATAGGATTTCAAAAAGAAAAAGAGTACTATTGAGTGTTTCTTCCAGGCTTGTGCTGGATTTTTTTTTTTTTTTTAATGTATGTGCTGCAGAAGAGACCAAGTTTTATTAGTTTCCACTTTGCTTGCACACCAGGGGGGCTATGGTGTTCCACTCTCCTGCTGTGAGGGATATTTTTTCCGCAATTGTCCTGAGTTCCTGAGTGCCTAATACACTCAAGGCACACATGTCCATTGTTTTGGCTGATACCCAATCTCACATATGTTTGTTGTACTATGATCTGGGTGTGTGAAGCAGTGAGATCATTCATCTAAATGCTTTACAACTCATTAGAAAAATAATATTTAGGCACAGTGTGTGTGTGTGTGTGTGTGTGTGTGTGTGTGTGTGTGTGTGCGCGCGTGCACATGCTTATTTTCCCTTGCTAGGCTTTGCAGCTAAGAAAAAAACATTTATATTAAGACAAAACAATAAAAATTACTTCCTTATAAGAGTAGGAAATGTTTAGGTCTTTCAAACAAAAAGGAAGTTACAGCAATTGTTGTCACTGAAACAAACATTACTCATACACTGACTTTCCCACAAACACTATCTATCCTGGATGCCTTTCCTTTTTTATGTTTGTTACTCACATGGAGGTTGAGCTTGGAAGGTCCAGCTGCAGTTCTGATTGTGCGGATACTTGGCAGGGTACAATGGAGAGGAAACAGTATCAAAGGAGTTGGTGAGGAAGTAGCCTCCACAGACTGTGGAACACAAAGGTACACGTGTCATATAATTTTGATTCCTACTGATGGTACCAAACAATTATGTCATGAGTAAAAACATAAATGATTTTTCAAAATTTTTGAAATTTATGCCAAGGTAGTCTTCTGCCAAGGAAATTGCACTTAAACCATCAGAAAATGGAACAGACTTAACACTGATAACAATTTTCTTCAATTATAGAAAGTGGAGAAATGGCACAGAATAACAGATTAAATGTCTATGAGTTGGCAGAATCATTCAAACAGAACTCTGGCTTTGATTTACTTACCCTGTTGATCCTCAAACCAGGAGCCTAGGAATAAGCTGTTTATGAAAGTTCTATTTTTTTTTTCAACAAAATAATTACCCAGTAGAGCAGGACTTAGTAAGAAAAAGAATATATTATCAGAGAAGCTCCCAAGATCTGTGAGAGACCAGAAGATGCAGAATATGGTGCCATTGGTGAGTCTAAGAGGTATCTCTCAAAAAGACAGAGGAGGATTTGGAGGATGAGAAGGCTGGACCAGGGAGGGAGAGGCTTGAGCAAAGACGCTTAGGAGGTGCCTATGTGGATGAGGTTAAAGTGCTCAGAGCTTCTGGGCAGTTGGGAATCCTGCTGGAAAGTGGTTTTCGGACCCAGACAAGTCTGTGTTTCATTTTCCAGGCCATGTGGTGATAATATAGGAACAACTCCTCAATGGCACGATTACAGTGAGTCTTTTGCAAGTGTCTTTGAAAGAAGATGAATTTGAATTAGAATTTGAAGAAGCTGTTATAACAATCCCACTATGCAATAGCAGGAACTTTTTACTCTGAAGCAGTACCTTTGACAATAATTAAGTGTAAAATGAAAACAAAAGCATTAAGAAACTTTTTTTCTCTCTGAAATCACCGAGAGCGACTGATAGAAATATAGAGTCTGCCTCACTCCAAAGTGTACAGCTTGTCTTTGGGAGCTCTTAATACGATCCCCCCACAGGGCTCTCCAGGAGAATACCAGCAGGTCCACTGAGCTCAATGCAATGACTAAGTAGATTAAATGTAATGGGAGTGAGTGATCTCAGCCACCCATGTAAAATTCATCACCACATAGAGCTCTGAGTTTCTTCCACATCTGACAACTGCATAGAGAGGCTTAATCGCTTGACAAAGACCAGATGAAAGCAATGGACAAAATGTCCATGGAGGAAAAATCAGGAAACAGTGAGTCAGAACCAAAACAATGGAAAACAGCCCTGACTCCTCAATTGGACAATTGCAGGGTTCAGAACTGAGAGCCATTCATAGTTAGAAACGGGCTGTACAGTACATAAAAGTTCTGTCCTTTATAGTCATATATCTCCTTGAAGCATAAAACCTTGGATGGGTGATAGCCAATGTATTTGGATAAAAATGTTTTTATCTGTCTCAAACATTAAAGACACCTTTGTGTATTATTCTTAAAACTTTGAGACTGTACAATGTGTTTTAGAGATATGAAGATCCAAAGGAAGCCTAAATTAGACAAGAATAAAGTTAAAAGTATCAGCAGTCAGAATAACTGTTAGGTCATATTTTTCTCATTTAACGTTTTTCCTTTGAAGTAGGAGATGTGATTTGTTTTTTTGAGGATTGGCTCCATTTTATCATCGCACCAAAAAGGGCACTGAACAAAATCTTTCCTGTGCTCAGAGAGACCTTGCAGGATACTTGCCTTGCCTGAACTGGGCTAGGAAACCCTTGCTCTGCCTAGAAGCACCAGACTGGAATCTCACAAAGAGGCTGTTCCCTGAAGAGATGATGGGGTTAGTCAGCTGCTGTCTTCCGCACACTCTGGCCAGGCGAGTGGTTGTAGAGCTTACGCCATCATATGTCTACAAGGATAGAACACAGGGAAAACTGGCTCAGAACTTCAGGACTGCAACTGTGAAGCTCATATTCTGGAGAGCTAACAGAAAGCCACATACTTGCTAGATCTAGTGAAATGGCTTTATTTATTGTCTTGTCACACAGTTCCATAAGAATGACTTGGTCTTTATTTCCAGGGGCACTGACAGAGCTTTTTACAGGAGTCTCACTATGACACATGTCTCCTCCGGTGTCTCACACATGATGTCCTCTTCACAGCCCTCCTTCCTCCCCTGACCTCAGTGTAGCCCACACCCACAACACGTACTGAAAATGTTAGATGCAAGAATGAACATAGAGGGGCAACCCGCTAGGGACCTTCTTCTGTCTCTCTTCAGACAGAAGCTTTCTTCCCTCAATAAATATATTCTACTCTTCACCTTAAAAAAAAAAAAAAAAAAAGAATGAACATAGAAGCAAATAGTTGAGAAATAATGAGTAGGTATTGTCAGAAACCCAAAATTCAATTCTTCCAGTGATATCAGTAGAATGAGCCTGATTTAGGAAATTAAGTCTGTCTGTCTCTCTCTCTCTCTCTCTCTCTCTCTCTCTCTCTCTCTCATTTTTAACATTCTGGACTATGTGTCTACCTATTACTATGCTGGGAATTTTCCAGTCCTCCATAGAAGTGAATGGAATAGAGTTTACAACATGTGAAATCTCTGTATCAGTTTGTGAAATTGAAGTTGAATCATCTGCTTGGGATCTGGGTCAAGCAGGAGTTTCTGAATGCTTTTATGTTTAAACTAGGGAGAAATTATGTCCTTGTCTGAGTGTTACCATTAAGTGCTTACTATGTGCACAAAACTGGATCCAGTCCTTCACACACTGTTCCATCTTCTCTTTAAGAAGAAAAACAGATGCACAGGGACCCTAAGTAACCTGACCAAGTCACACAATTCCTAAGAGGGACTGGGTCCCCTGGCACCAAATGAGATTGTAGAACTGAGGTTCTTTCATTTTTTAGAAATTGAGGTATCAGTTCAGCAGGATAGATGCACTACATTGCCAGCAACCACAGTAAGGTTGAAAATATGAAATAAAAATATGGTTATTTCATTAAAACATTCCATTTATATTTGATAAGAAAATCTTTAGAAAAATAGAAAGTTCAGCAATCTAGGTACTCACAAGTAACTTACAAGTTACTTAAAATATCTAATGCTCAGTGTTCTCTATCACACAAGTATGATGGGGAAGCTATTTTCAGCTTGCTTTCTATAAGTACATGGAATCAAATATCAACAGGATTTGAGAGGTGATAAAGCTGTTACGATAATGATTTCAAAAGAATTTTGATTCTGAAACAGTACTTCTTCCTGTCTTTTTTCATTTTTTTACTGTTCACACTTTAAATCTATATATCCAATAAATGAAACTTTAAAACTGATTTTATTCAGCAAAGATTTAATAAAAATAGTTTCCTTAACCAAGTTAAAATACAATTTCCAGTGTAGTGTGACTGCTCCTTTTGATAATTTGAACACCCAGTGCCAGCGATGGCAAACCTTTTAGAGCTTTCAATGATAACCAACTGCTGGCTGCGGCATCTGTGCCCTTCGTTCACCACCACTACCTTAGAACAGAGCCAAAACAACATGCAAGCCATTATTAACTACAGTGGGCATTACTACACTCAAACTTCAACCTCGTCTCAAACATTGCCATCATTGGTTTAACATATACATGTATTACATTTTAGACAATATAAAATACTTTATGACTCCCTAAGTTTATGTCGGCAAACCATTTTTAGTCTCATCTATTTCTCTCTAAATGCAAAAGTGCAGTGTACATGTAGATCTTACTTTTTCTTTTTCTAAGCCTTTGTTTTGCTCTTGAGTAGATGCAGTTCTATCAAGAGAAAAGAAAAAGGAAATAATGTGGAAAGGTAAACTAGAAAAATGAAGGCTAGAAATCTTAGAAAGCCATATGACTGAGCCAGTTTTCTGGAGACCCTGTGACACAGACATATCTAGGAGGTCTCTGGGGTTCCAAACCCCCTTTCTTGGGTCCTTGAATCTTAGGACAACTGCTGAAATTCACAGACTGTTCTTGCTTTACAAAGAATTGACCCAAAGAAGGTTTCCAGCTGTCCTTGAATTCAGATAATATACCAATGGCACATCAAACATGTGCGTGTGTTTTACATTTTACATGCACCAATACAATACTCTAGTTTGCAATGCAAGGTTTCTTTTGTAATGAAGAAACCAAGGCAAATATGCTAGCCATTAAAGTATTACCTTATTCAGTGTACTAGTAACTTATGCACAATCACACAGCTACTGGGCAGCAGTCTTTTCTTGTCAAATTCTGTATTATATAAGTCTCTTTAAAATGCATGTGATAATTATTAATTTATATATAACTAATTGTCATTTTATGACATTTCAAAGCCTCAGGTTATTAATGTGACCGGTTTTTAAAATTGCATTTGGAATACTGATTCTTTTTTGAGAGCAACACTTGCAATACCAAGTCAATATTATCACATTTAATTTTTAATTGGCAAAGTTACTAGAAAATCATACTAGGAAGAAAATTTGAGAAACTTTGTTCCTACTTTAAAATTCTAAACTCATGAAAACTTTAAACATGAATTTTAAACATGAAATCAATATGCATTTTCCTTCACTTCCACTTAGTTCCTAAGGCAAAGGAAGAAAATTATATTACTATTGGGTACACGTATAATGTATTCATGTCATTTATATAATTCCTACTTAAATCTACTGCCAAGAGTTTACTAGACCTGGGAATTGATTTTCCAACCTGTTAGTTGAGTAGTAAATGTCAGAGTAATATACAAACAAATAAGGTAAACTTTGTACATCCTAACTTACTCATTTCTTTGACATCAGTGTAAAATAAAATTTGAAGTCAAGTCCACTGAAGAAAAAGTAGCCACCACCTTGGGGAGTTCAAACTAAAGTAGTTCTCAGAAAACCAAAGTAGATCTAGTAAATGTATCTAATTCCTATAGCAAAGTTCATCAATTCCTTTAGAAAGTATCCAGAATTTTATACAATTTCAAAATAACCAAACATTCAAAATGCCAGAATTTAACTGTATCATAATGAAATAGAAATGAAATAGAGAAATTGACACATAAGACGTAATAACCGTTAGATGCATAAATGAGTAAGTGACAACTTATGGCTTTAAGAACAGAGGACAGTGGACTCTTGATTTATGAACTCAGTTCATTCTTGTGGGCTGTCGCAACTCAAGCTGTCAACTGAAAGTTCAGGCTCCTCTACACAGCTGTCAAAGTCTCTCTCCTGAATTAGGGAAGATCTCCATGTCCTTAGCAAGACACTGGATCAGTATTTCTCAATTAACCCCATACAACACAGGCTATTAGAATGTTTCTTCCAGAACTCGTTAGGGGTTAAACTTCTAACTGAGGCCACCTGGAAGCATAAGCAGCCAGCATTTGAGTCATGATTCACGACTCTGGTCACAAGTTAAAACTAAAAAGAAGGAAAAAGATATTATACAACAGCTAATATACTACTAATTTCTTTTAGTTCATTGAAGAGAATGATTTGTGCTTATATTGTCTGCATGCCTATATCATATAATCTGAGCAACTACTTTGAAGCTAACAATACACAATATACGACCATTGTTAATTTTCTATTATAGTGTTATGAAATTCTGTATTTTTTTTTCTCTTAAAAAAAACTAAAATTTCAGTCATAACCTAAGGGATTTATATGCCTGGCTGATTGTGACTTGAGGGTCCACTATACTAGGTTCGAGAAAAACCCTGAGTTAAGAAAAACTTCTCAGTTCCTTCATGAGGTTGATTGTACAAACACTTGGCAGGCACAATGACAGATAAAAGGCTACTCACAGCGGGAAAGAGGTCGACTGCGGCTGCTCTCTAGGTAGTGTTTCTAGGTGCTGGCCCAAAGAGTAAGCAGATGGGCTAATTGCAAGGCACAGCCAACTCCACTTCCTCAGCTCACCCCCAGTGTGAGAGAACATGGAGAGAGGATGGGCTGAGAGCATCAGGCTTACCCCGGGGCCCGTAACATGCTAAACATGTGACATATTATGATCCTGTCAGAGCCCTCCACATACTACTAACCAAAAGCAAGAATCAAACCAAAGTATGAATTTTCATACTTGATATTTCAATTCCTGGAGAAGATCTGGGTAAATATCAACCATTGTCATGGTTAATCTTAATCAGTCTTGTCATACAAGACATCAAGTGACATGGTGAGAAAAACCACTCATGTGGGAGAACGAAAGTAATAGTTTTGAAGGTATGTGTGCAGAGTCTTAAGGAATAGTAATATGCAAAACAAAGGAGTGAAACAACAAGAATATTTTACTTACCAACACAGTGATAAAAATATATATTATTTAAGAATTTGTGCTAAGAATGGTAGCAGAATCCCATCTAGAGAGAAAAAAGGTCTTTATTTAGACACTGTCATAGACTGTCCTTTCTATGCGTCCTAATATGCTGCTCAGTTTTCTAATCTGTAAAGTGGGACTAATAAGGGTACACAGCTCATATTGCTCATCAAAATTAAATGAGTTAAAAGATATAAAGTACTTAGAAAAGTCCTGGCATAATGTAAATCTATAATAGAGATTAGCCTCTACTGTTAAAGTGAGCCAGAAACTTAAACTGTTACCAAACAAACAAGGTGGGGAACAATGAAGGCAAAAAGTTCAAGCACAGCAGAGGAATGGTCAGCAAAATGGATGAAATAGGAGCCCAGTGTTAGATAATTTTTGAGATGTCTCTGAATGATTCCCAACTCTTAGTACTCTTGTGCTTCTACAATTTCTTTCTCACGTATGAGAGAAACCTAATGACTTGCTTTAAGATAAGAGTAGAGAAAAAGTGATGGCATAGGTTTTCCATGGTTGGAATACAAGAGATGGCGGCCTCGCGGGTGTTGTGTGACTCTCTCTCTCTCTCTCTCTCTCTCTCTCTCTC